TGAAACCCCGTCTCTACTAAAATACAAAAATTAGCTGGGTGTGGTGGTGTATGCCTGCAGTCCCAGCTACTCAGGAGGCTGAGGCAGGAGAATTGCTTGAACCGGAAAGCAGAGATTGCAATGAGCCGAGATTGCGCCACTGCACTCCAGCCTGGCGCCTGGCAACAAAGCAAGAATCTTGTTTCATTAAAAAAAAAAAAAAAAAATTTAAGGGAGTATGAGCATACTTCTCATTTAAGAAGTAGGAAAGGAAAAATATGATTAAAGAATCCCAAAGTTGTAACTGAAGTTGATATAATTTTCTTTATACAGGCCAGGCAAGGTGGCTGACACCTATAATCCCAGCACTTTGGGAGGCCGAGGCAGATGGATCACCTGAGATGAGAAGTTTGAGACCAGCCTGGCCAACATGACAAAACCCCGTCTCTACTAAATATATAAACATTAGTTGGGCATGGTGGCAGATGCCTGTAATCCCATCTTCTCAGGAAGCTGAGACAGGAGAATCACTTGAACCTGGGAGCGGGAAGTTGCAGTGAGCTGAGATCATGCCACTGTACTCCTACCTGGGTGACAGAGTGAAAGACTCCATCTCAAAAAAAAAAAAAAATTATACACTTGGCCCTTGAACAACACAGGTGTGAACTGCATGGGTCCACATATATGTGGCTTTTTTTTCCAACTAAACACAGATGGAAAACTGCATTGGCAGGATGCAAAACCCAGGTATCCAGAGGGCCAATTTTTCATACACATGGGTTTCATCGACTACAGGACTTGAAAATGCATGGATTCGGGTGTACATGGGGGTCCTGGAACCAACACCCTGACTGAGTATACCAAGGAATGACTGCATTTCACTTCATCTTCCAAATCATGCATACTTAAATATTTAATTAAAAAACAATTAGATCTGAAATTTGAGGACATAACAAAACAAAGACCTGCAAATTTTAATTAAACAAATCTTAAAACATTTAAAATACAAACTGGTATCCATCTGAGTGACTATAAAAGACCAGGTTAAAAACCGAGCAGTGTGCAAACATGGACTGTTTATTTTACAAAGAACAAGATATCCAGAAAAAGAAAGGGGAAAAACAACACTAAAAATCCCAAGAAGGGCAGAGAAACCTCTGTGTTGAGCCAACAGGGACAGAGATTTATAAAACTCCAAGTTTTCTCACAGATTATACAAAAGGGCTAAAACCTGTTTTAAACGCTGAAGGCATAGCTTTTGACTATCCTCTGCTCTGAGAGGTGGGGGAGCAGGAGGTGTGTTATAATCCTGAAGATGCTAAAAATCCAAAAAGAAAGGCAGTATGATTCATTAACATAATAAAATTCTAGACCTACCCCAATCTATAGGGAGGGAGTAAACTAATATTGAGTAGCTAGTTGTTACTGTAGTTAAGTTTTTTGTTTTGCTTTTTTGAGACAGGGTCTCGCTCTGTCACCCAGGCTGGAGTGCAGTGGTGAGATCATGGCTCACTGCAGCCTTGACCTCCCAGGCTCCAGCGATCCTCCCACTTCAGCTTTTCAAGTACCTGGGACTACAGGCACCTGTCCCCACGTCCAGCTAGTTTTTTAAATATTTTGTAGAGATGGGGTCTTGCCTTGTTGCCCTGGACTGTCTCAAACTCCTGGTTTCAAGCAATCCTCCTTGGCCTCAAAAGTACTTAATCCACACCCCCTCCCCGCAAGTAGTTGATTCTAGATTCTCTTCCATCATTTTAAGCAGAGATTATTTTGATATTAATTTCTCATGGCCAAAAAAAAAGAAAATTCCCTTATCTACTCCAATGTAGAACAATTTAGATGCAGGATAACACAATTCCACAGCGACAGCCACATTATCAGGGTGAAACCAATTCAAGCAGAAAGGCAGGCTCAGAAGAACAGAGAAAGGAGAGTAACAGGCTGCATCTGGCTGTTGCCATCAATTGAGGAAAGAATGAGAACGTGGTATTGAGTTCCCAGACATGCCCTTGGGCAGGTGAGGGGAGAAGAGAAAGAAAGGCAAAATACCTGCAGCTAAAGCCACTTCCAAATAATTTATTTTAAATAGGCTTTTGACGCATTTCAGTTTGGAAAACCAAAGGGGAGAGGAAAAGAAATGAGGATTTGCATCTGGTTAAGTATCACATAAAACATTAGTTTGGACAAAATCATATATATGCTATTCAACAGATAATTCCTTTACATCTCATTCAATGAAAATACTTGTTACTAGAGAGAAACAAGGAAGTCCATGTGCAACAACCCACAGGCTATCAAATTTCCAGAGGTTCAGGGGGAGTTTTATTAATACCTTTTTAAAAGCTAAGTAATTCTTTCAGCTTAATCATCATCACCTCTGTAAGTTACAATAGCTATCAATTTGCCAAATTACCAAAAGCAACAGGAACTGATTAAAACTTCATGATAGTAAAATCAGATGAGAGGCCAAAGTTCACTGGGACTCTAGTATCACTGGCACTGGTCTCCCTTGATTGTCGTTGTTAAGCCACCTGAAACCTTAAGTAAACAAATCTAACTGCCAATGAAAACTAACACACCCAGAAACTCTCAGCGAAACGTTTACTTCATAGTTCATAATACAGACCTGTCCTATTCCATCTACAGGTGGCCCTGCCTGGAGGTAAAGGTCGAAAGAAAACACTTCCTAACACCTTCACACTTTCAAGTGAGGACAAAAAAAAAAAAAAAAAAAAAAAAAACAGGGCTTTGAGTCAAAGACATAAGAACTATTATCTCGGTGGCAAATACATACATACTACAGCCTTCTTGGCTTTCCCAAGACTGCTTCATTTTTGCTGCTTAACTAACCAGAAAAAAATTTCCTCTATGTTCCTAAATTTCCTTAAAAATCAGACTTATAGAATGCTAGAGCTAAAAGAGCCTTTAAGATATTAATGTCTTGCCCGTAATCCCAGCACTTTGGGAGGCCAAGGCAGGCAGATCACACTGAGGTCAAGGGTTCAAGACCAGCCCCGCCACTATGGTGAAACCCCATCTCTACTAAAAATACAAAAAAATTGGTCAGGTGTGGTGGTGTGCACCTGTAGTCCTAGCTACTTGGAAGGCCAAGGCAAAAGAACTGCTTGAATCCGGGAGGCGGAGGTTATAGTGAGCTGATATTGCACCACTGTACTCCAGCCTGGCCAACAGAGCCAGACTCACTCTCAATTAAAAAAAAAAAAAAAAAGTAATGTCTTTACCTGACCAGACCTGACCAGCAGCAATCTAGCACCCATCTTTAGCCAGCCCACTCCCCACCCCACTCTCATTCCCACTGGCCAAAATAAACCTCCCTGGGAACCAGTGGCAACACCTTCATGATAGTAAATCAATCTGCTCAAAGAACTCTGTGGTGTCAGTTTCTGAGGTAGCTTCTAACAGGACCCTAACAGGATTTCTTAGAAAGTTTCACTCCAAATCTCTTTTTATTTTTTCCAAGACAGGGTCTCACTCTATCACCCAGGCTAGAGTGCTGTGATCGAATCACAGCTCACTGCAGCTTCAACCTCCCATGCTCCAGTGATTCTCCCACCTCAGCCTCCTGAGTAGCTGGGACTACAGGCACACACCATCATGCCCAGCTAATTGTTTTTTTTTATTTTTTGTAGAGACAGGTCTCATTATGTTGCCCAGGTTATTCTCAAACTCCTGAACTCAAGCAATCCTCTCACCTTGGCCTCCCTAAGTGCTGGGATCCCAAGTGTGAGCTACCACATCTGGCCTCTAAAAGTCTCTAAAGACCATTTTTACTAACATTCATTTGGGAGGTATTTTTCTTTTTCTTTTAATATATATATATTTTCTTTATATATATATATATATATATATATATATATATATATATATATATAATTGTACTTTAAGTTCTGGGGTACACGTGCAGATAATGCAGGATTGTTGCATAGGTACATACAAGGCAATGTGGTTTGCTACCTCCATCCCCCCCCGTCACCTATATTTGGCATTTTTCCCCATGTTATCCCTCCCCAACCTCCCTACCCCACCACTGTCCCTTCCCTAGTTCCCCCCAACAGACCCCATGTGTGATGCTCTCCTGGGAGGCATTTTTAAAGAGAGGAACTTTCTGGGCTTTCAGCAAATCACATCATATAGAAAGCCTGGTAAGATTAATAGTATATGTATTTTAAAAGGAATTTTTTCTAATACGTCTTTGTCTCACTGAAGTACTTCATAATGTTAACTCAGAATTAGTCACTGTGGTTTCTCATGCTGTTATCTATGTCAAAAGTTTAAAAGGCCTGCCACCTGCTATTCCAAAAACACCCTTACCAATCTTGACCCAAGAGAACACCCTGGGCAATGGTTTCTGTTTATCTCCAAAATGATAAGCAGAAAAATAAAAGGCAGTAGAAGGAAGGAGTAGTTTTTGTTTTGCAAAGGTCAAGTTCTTTCTGCATGATGTTTTTTGAAGCCATTTCTTTTAAAAACCTAGATCCACGCCGGGCGCGGTGGCTCAGGCCTGTAATCCCAGCACTTTGGGAGGCCGAGGCGGGTGGATCATGAGGTCGAGAGATCGAGACCATCCTGGTCAACATGGTGAAACCCCGTCTCTACTAAAAATACAAAAAATTAGCTGGGCATGGTGGTGCGTGCCTGTAATCCCAGCTACTTAGGAGGCTGAGGCAGGAGAATTGCCTGAACCCAGGAGGTGGAGGTTGCGGTGAGCCGAGATCGCGCCATTGCACTCCAGCCTGGGTAACAAGAGCGAAACTCCGTCTCAAAAAAAAAAACAACAACAACCTAGATCCACTCCTTGAAAATGGAAATCTGATTTTCACCTTTTAATAAAGCAATTTCCATTTATCCTACCTCTAAAAATTCTGAGTAAAAACTAAAGCAACAACTTTTGCAACATATACAAACAATAATTCTAAGAATAAAGTTTAACAAAGCACTAAAAATTCAGACACAAATTTGGGGCTTTAATAAAAGATGTAAAGTTATATTTTAACACTTACCCACTCCTCGACATTGGGGGGCTGCTCATCATAAACGGGTTCCTTGTCCCACAAAATATTGGACTTGTCATACCTGTTCATCTTTCTTCGAGTTTTCACAGCAAAGAAAATTATTAAAGCAAAAGCCACAATAATCATGAACCCCAGTACAATGGCAATGGCCTAAAAAGGGGTGAAAAATATTGGCATAATCAGATTTTAATTGCTTTATCACAATCCCCCCTCTACATATTATTAAAACTACTGAAGGTCCCACTAAATCCATGTGGTTTAACTGATAGAAAACTGAAGCAAATAATTACATTTTAGACATATCATAAAACCTAAACCACAGTAACTGGGCTAAGGCCAGCATATGTGTATGTGTACACACACACACACACACAAACCTTCATTCAATCCTCAGAAAATGTCTAATGTTAGAAACTATCAATCATCATCCCCACTTTAGAGCTGTAGAAAACTAGTTCCAAAGCTTGTGTACCTATGGGCCACAGTTTTATAAACAGATGAGATCAGTCAGTAAAGTAACTCAATCATTGGTCTATTTCTAAAGGGCCTGAAAAATGCTATTCTCAAAAGTATCATCTTTAAAAGAGCCAATCATGCTTGTAATCTTGTTCAAAACACATGCTTAGCAAGCCTTTTTACACTGAATGTAAATTTCAGTCCATAGATACCTATCTTACCAAAAATGAAGCCATGAATCTAATCCATCTGTAAATAGCAAATTGACGGAATCATTTGGTCTGGCAGGTTTCTCTGTTTTAGGAATCTTGCATACTTACTAGAAAGGGCCCTGCGACAATCTTCTTACTCTCGACAGTTCTCCCAGCAGTGACAGAATATTAAATGATATACTGGCCTGGGAGGCACATGAAGCTGAGGGAAGTACCAGGTCTCTGCCCTGAATGTCTGCTAATGGGAACAAGAGGCTCTCCTTCCAGCTGTCTGACAGTGACATAATTTTTCAAAGACTACAGATTTCAAGTGATAAGATAACCAAGAGGGATGGGGTGTCATAGGACAAGAGTACCAACCCTCAGTCCCCATCTACCATGGACATGTCTAAATGGCAATAACAAGCATTGTGAAAACTACATCTGCAGGTAAAACCTTCAGTCTTCAGAATAATGGTAGACAGATACTAGAGGTCTAACTCCAAAGGAGTGACTCATTCAGGAATGGGAATTCCTGAATCAGTGTAAGAAGAAAAAAGAAAAAACAAGGGAAAAAGGAGTAGTAACTCAGAAATGTTTCAGATGTTAATATAATCAGGATGACTCATGGTTACTAAGGTAGGTTTCTCAACCCCAACCTGCACATTTGAAATCATTTGCATAGCTTTTAAACATACTTACACTCTGAAAACTATAAAACACTATTAAAAGAAGTTTAACAAGACCTACATAAATTGAAAGATATGTTCATGAATGAGAAGACTTGCAAAGTTGACAATACATTCCAAACTGATCTACAGATTCAGTATAACCCTTCAAAATCCCAGCTGGCATTTTTTTCCAAAATTGACATGCTGATCTTAAAATCCACATGGAAATGCAAGGAATCCAGAATCTAGCCACAACGGTTTTGAAGAGCGAAGTTGGAGAACTCCCACTCTGCTATTTAAAGCTTACTATAAAGCTACAGTAATCAAGACAGTATGGTACTGGAATAAGGACATATGATTAATGGAACCGAAGTGAGAGTCCAGAAATAAATGTCCACATTTGTGATCAATTCACATTTGACAAAGGCATGAAGAAAACTTAGTGGAGGAATAGTCCTTTCAACAAGTAACACTAAAACAACTGCATATAAACATGTAAAAGCTTTCAGACCCCTTGCTTCCACCATGCCCAAAATTAACACAAAATGGATCACACACCTGCCAAAATTATGAAACTATAGAAAAATTAAAAAACAGGCCGGGCGCGGTGGCTCAAGCCTGTAATCCCAGCACTTTGGGAGGCCGAGGCGGGTGGATCACGAGGTCGAGAGATCGAGACCATCCTGATCAACGTGGTGAAACCCCGTCTCTACTAAAAATACAAAAAAAAAAATTAGCTGGGCATGGTGGTGTGTGCCTGCAGTCCCAGCTACTCAGGAGGCTGAGGCAGGAGAATTGCTTGAACCCAGGAGGCGGAGGTTGCGGTGAGCCGAGATCGTGCCATTGCACTCTAGCCTGGGTAACAAGAGCGACACTCTGTCTCAAAAAAAAAAAAAAAAAAAAAAAAAAAAAAAAACAGAAAACATAGGAGTAAATCCTTGTAACCCTGTGTTAGGCAAAGCATTAGATATGACACCAAAAATACAAGCAACAGAAGAAAAATTAAATATACTGGACATCATCAAAACTAAAAACTTTCTTTTTTTTTTTTTTGAGATGGAGTTTCGCTCTTGTTGCCTAGGCTGAAGTGCAGTGGCATGATCTTGGCTCACTGCAACCTCCACCTCCTAAGTTCAAGGAACTCTTCTGCCTTCAGCCTCTTGAGTAGCTGGGATTACAGGTATGCGCTACCTGCCGGGCGCGGTGGCTCAAGCCTGGCTCAAGCACTTTGGGAGGAAAGGTGGGTGGATCACAAGGTCAAGAGATCGAGACTATCCTGGTCAACATGGTGAAACCCCGTCTCTACTAAAGAAAATACAAAAAAAAAAAAAAAAAAAAAAATTAGCTGGGCATGGTGGCACGTGCCTGTAATCCCAGCTAATCAGGAGGCTGAGGCAGGAGAATTGCCTGAACCCAGGAGGCGGAGGTTGCGGTGAGCCGAGATCGCGCCATTGCACTCCAGCCTGGGTAACAAGAGTGAAGCTCTGTCTCAAAAAAAAAAAAAAACAAAACAAAACAAAAAAAAAAAACGGCCGGGCGCGGTGGCTCAAGCCTGTAATCCCAGCACTTTGGGAGGCCGAGGAGGGTGGATCACGAGGTCAAGAGATCGAGACCATCCTGGTCAACATGGTGAAACCCCGTCTCTACCAAAAATACAAAAAATTAGCTGGGCATGGTGGCGCGTGCCTTTAATCCCAGCTACTCAGGAGGCTGAGGCAGGAGAATTGCCTGAACCCAGGAGGCGGAGGTTGCGGTGAGCCGAGATCGCGCCATTGCACTCCAGCCTGGGTAACAAGAGCGAAACTCCCTCTCATTAAAAAAAAAAAAAAAAAAAAAAAAGCAAAAAAACAAAAAAAAACCACAGGTATGTGCCACCATGTCCAGCTAATTTTTGTATTTTTAGTAGAGATGGGGTTTCACCCTGTTGCCCAGGCTGGTCTCAAACTCCTGACCTCAGGTGATCCTCCCACTTTGCCCTCCCAACATGCTAGGATTACAGAGATACTGTGGCTGGCCCCAAACTAAGAACTTTTTTTTTTTTTTTTTGAGACGGAGTTTCGCTCTTGTTACCCAAGCTGGAGTGCAATGGCGCGATCTCGGCTCACCGCAACCTCCGCCTCCTGGGTTCAGGCGATTCTCCTACCTCAGCCTCCTGAGTAGCTGGGATCACAGGCATGCGCCACCATGCCCAGCTAATTTTTTTGTATTTTTAGTAGAGACGGGGTTTCACCATGTTGACCACGATGGTCTCGATCTCTTGACCTCGTGATCCACCCGCCTCGGCCTCCCAAAGTGCTGGGATTACAGGCGTGAGCCACCGCGCCCGGCTCAAACTAAGAACTTTTATGCAAAGGACATGATCAAGAAAGTGAAAAGATGCCTATTATCCTAGCTGTTTGGAAGGTCAAGGCAGGATCACTTGAGCCCAGGAGTTCTCAGTCCAGCCCGGGTAACAAAGCAAGACCCTGTCTCTACAAAAAAATAAAAAATAAAATACCCTGGTGTGGTGGTATGTCCCTGTGGTCCCAGCTACTTGGGAGACTGAGGTAGGAGTGTCACTTGAGCCCAGGGGGTCAAGGCTGCAATGAGCCATGACTACACCACTGCAATCCAGCTTGGGTGATAGAGTGAGACTTTGTCTCAAAAACAAAACAAAAACAACAAAAATAGCCCAATTAAAAAATAGGCAAAGAGTCTAAAGAGCCATTTCCCCAAAGATAATAGAGAAATAGCCAATAAGTACATGAAAAGATGCTCAATATCACTAGCCATAAAGAAAATAAGAATCAAAATCACAATGAAGTACCACTTAACTTACCCATTACCATGGCTAGAATCAAACAGACAATAACAAGTGTCGGTGAGGATGTGGAGAAACAAACTTTCATATATTTCTGGTGTGAATGTAAAATGATGCAAACTCTTGGGAAAAAACTGATAGCTCCTGAAAAGATTAGAGTCACCGTACAACTCAGCAATTCCACCCCTAGGTATAACCCAACTCAAGCAATCATTAAAACATAGGTTCACCCAAAAACATATACAAGAATGCCTGTAGCATGATTTAGCCAATGTAGACATAGCCCAAATGTCTATCAACTGATAAAATCTGGTTTATCCACACACTGGAATATTAGCAATAAAAAGGAATAAAGGTATGGTACATGATGTAATGGATAAACCTTAAAAACATGCTAAGTAAAAGAAGCTCATCACAAAGACCACATTGTGTGATTCCATTTATATGAAATACCTAGAGAACAGGCACATCTATAGACACGATTAGTGGTTGCCTAGGGCTAAGAACAGTTAGGGAAATAGGGAGTGATGCTAATGGGTACAAGTTTCTTTTTTTTCTTTTTTTGAGACAGAGTTTCACTCTTTTTACCCAAGCTGGAGTGCAATGGCGCGATCTCGGTTCACCGCAACCTCCGCCTCCTGGGTTCAGGCAATTCTCCTGCCTCAGCCTCCTGAGTAGCTGGGATGACAGGCACGCGCCACCATGCCCAGCTGATTTTTTGTATTTTAGTAGAGACGGGGTTTCACCATGTTGACCAGGATGGTCTCGATCTCTTGACCTCGTGATCCACCCGCCTCGGCCTCCCAAAGTGCTGGGATTACAGGCTTGAGCCACCGTGCCCGGCCCGGGTACAAGTTTCTTTTTAGGATTGTGAAAATGTTCTAAAATTGATTGTGGTGACAGTTGCACAATTCTGTGAATATACTTAAAACCTCTGAACTGTTCTTTAACCAAATTACCTTGTATGTTAATTACATTTTTTTTTTTTTTTTTCCCCGAGACGGAGTTTCGCTCTTGTTACCCAGGCTGGAGTGCAATGGCGCGATCTCGGCTCACCGCAACCTCCGCCTCCTGAGTTCAGACAATTCTCCTACCTCAGCCTCCTGAGTAGCTGGGATTACAGGCACGCGCCACCATGCCCAGCTAATGTTTTGTATTTTTAGTAGAGACAGGGTTTCACCTTGTTGACCAGGATGGTCTCGATCTCTTGACCTCGTGATCCACCCGCCTCGGCCTCCCAAAGTGCTGGGATTACAGGCTTGAGCCACCGCGCCCGGCCAGTGTTAATTACATCTTAATGACACTGAGCCCCTCCTTGAGATTTAATTAGAAGTGGAGCCTTGTCATCAATATTTTTTAAAAGTTTCCAGCGTGATTCTATTACATATTCCAAGTTGAAAGCCTCTGCTAAGGAGAGGGGAAAAAAAACCCAAAACACCACTCATACCTCCTGGGGATCCACAACACAGTAGTGATACAAATACTGATCCACGTAGAGTCCAGTAACTGCAGGTGTATAAAATTGGTTGCAGAGGGCATATATTTGTGAACCATAGAGAGATCCAGAAGACTGAGCAGTTGGATTGACTCCCATTATGTAGACAATTGTGGCAATAAACACCATGATGCCCAAGATAGCACTCACTATTATCACACTTAAGTAATATCTTCTCGTTCTGGACATTTCAGATCTTATAACACTGGTAACAAAGATCACCAACGCGGCAATGAAACAGAAGGCAGCCATGGCCAACAGGAAGCCCTTTGCTGCCCTCGGGTCTGTATAGCCTCCGTAGCCATAGCCATAACCATAGCCATAGCCATAGCCACTTCCGTAGCTACCAAAGCCACTTCCTCCATAAGGGTAGCCTATACCACCTCCTAAAAGGGAAGTTCCATAGCCTCTGTCCCAGGCAAGCGTGGAGGCCACACAGGCAAAGATGGCAATGCACATCACAATAATGAGCATAGACAGAATCCGAATCACTCCTGGAGGAGAGGTCCATTTGTAGAAGTGAAGAATTTCATCTTCTGGGTAAAACGAGTATGCCGGCTGAGACAGCATTGGTCGAACATGCATCTCTCCACCATATATGTCATTGCTTGGTGCATAATGATTCGGCTTGCTGAAATGAATATGAAAATAATTTCAAGTTAGCATTTTTTGGTAGTAAGCAGAAAGAACATAAATTACTTGGAATAATTTAAACTATTGGGTAAATGAAACCAAAGCTTATCAGTGCCCTGGAGGGCTTGTTAAAACATAAGATTATTGCAGTCTCGGCTGGGCGCGGTGGCTCAAGCCTGTAATCCCAGCACTTTGGGAGGCCGAGGCGGGTGGATCACAAGGTCAAGAGGTCGAGACCATCCTGGTCAACAATGGTGAAACCCCGTCTCTACTAAAAATACAAAAAATTAGCTGGGCATGGTGGTGCGTGCCTGTAATCCCAGCTACTCAGGAGGCTGAGGCAGGAGAATTGCCTGAACCCAGGAGGCGGAGGTTGCAGTGAGCTGAGATCGCGCCATTGCACTCCAGCTTGGATAACAAGAGTGAAACTCCATCTCAAAAAAAAAAAAAAAAAGATTATTGCAGCCTCCAAAGTAATTAGTGTCCCCTGTATGCTAATGAGACAATAGGTTCTGGCAGCCCTAGGAAGCTTCAGGATGAGAGCCAGGATTAGATGGTTGGAACTTTCAGTCTCAACCCCCTCTAGACAAGAAAGGGAGGCTGAAGCTTAACCTGATCACCACCACCAATGATTCAGAGTCAATCATGCCTATGTAATAAAGCTTCCATAAAAACCCGAAAGGACTGAGTTCACAGAGCTTCTGGACAGCTGAACATGTGTAGGTTCCTGGAGGGTGGCACAGCCCGGAAAGACCCCTTCCCACATACCTTACCCTGTCCATCTCTTCATGTGGTGTTTGTTGGCATCCACTGTAATATCATCCGTTAGTTCATTCATTCATTCATTCTTAAAAGACAAGGTCTCCCTATGTTACCCAGGCTGGCCTCGAACTCCTGAGCTCAAGCAATCCTCCTGTCTCAGCCTCCTGAGTAGCTGGGATTACAGGCATACACCACCACACCTGGCTTTTGTAATACCCTTTATAATAAACCAGATAAGTAGTGTTTCCCTGAGTTCTGTGAGCCACTCTAGCAAATTAATTGAACCCAAGGAGAGAATTGTGGAAATCCCAATTTACTGTAGGTAGGTCAGAAACACAGGCCACAACCTGAGCTTGTGGCTGTATGAAGTGGGGGCAGTCTTGAGGGAATGAGCCCTGAACCTGTGATCTGATGCTGTCTCTGGGCAGAGTCAGAACTCAGCTGAATTAGAGGACACACAGCTAGTGTCCACTGTAGAACTGATTACTTGGTTGGTCGTGGAGAAAAATCCCCATACATTCTGGTGATCAGAGGTCACAGATGTATTCTACGTTGATTGTGTTGCGACAGAATAGCAGGAGAAACTGAGTTTGTTTTCACCTATATTACACTCCACTACACTTATCAGGGTTAAAGCTGCAAACTACTTAGAGGAGGAAATCCCTATCAATGTTTGATAGCAAATTTGGAATTCAAACATTCACTGATAAATCTTCACATGACCAAGGACCCCAAAGTATTATGCTAAGTGAAAGAAGCCAGACACAAAAGGCCACATATTACATGATTCCTCCATTTATACAATATATGCAGAATAGACAAATCTATAGAGACAGAAAGTAGACTGACGGTTGCTTAGAGCTGATGGAACTGGGAGGCTTCCCTGGAGCGTAATGAAATGTTCTAAAATTAATTGTGGTGATGGTTGCACAACTCTGAATATACTAAAAACCATTAAACTATCCATTTTAAGTGGGTAAGTTGTAAAGTATGTTAATTATATCTCAGTAAAGCTGTGTTTTTTTGTTTTTTGTTTTTTGTTTTTTTGGTGGATCTCCCTCTGTCTCCAGGCAGGAGTGCAGAGACGTGATCTCGGCTCACTGCAACCTCCACCTCCTGGATTCAAGCGATTCTGTTGCCTCAGTCTCCCGAGTAGCTGGGCTTACAGGCATGCGCCACCATGCCCAGCTAATTTTTGTATTTCTAGTAGAGACGGGGCTTCACCATGTTGGCCACAATGGTCTCAATCTCTTGACCCTGTGATACACCTGCCTCAGCCTTCCAAAGTGCTAGGATTATAGGCATGAGCCACCAAGCTGGGCCTAAAGCTGTTACTTTTAAAAACTGACAATATGTTGCCAACAGCCATCTGAACAAGGCATTTACACGGAAGCTTCATGATCATTTACATACAAATATAAATCTTGGCAATCTCTTGAAACAGACGTTGGCAATAGGTGACAGCAGTCCTCCTAGCAGAGAAAAACTATCATTCTGAAAGCTAAGAAGTAAGAGAAAAATTCACTTTTCAGTGCAGACTTTTCAATACAATTTAAATTTACGAGTACACGTATCATCTTTAAAAGCAAACACTTAAAAATGAAAATTTCAACCATATTTGTTTACATGTGATTGGCTTTTTAAAAGAGAATAACTAAATAATTATTTACTTACAATTCATCAGGTCTGTAAGGAGGTGGACTTTCAAGAGGCCTCGATGACATGGCTGATGTCAGTGGTCAGCTGATCTTCAGGCTGAGTAAAACCCTTTGAGCTCTCAAGATAAACCAATCTAAGCAACAAAAGTAGGGGTATGGCATTACTACTACGCTCACAGTTTCTTTTTTTTTCCCCCTTGAGACTGGGTCTCACCTGTCGCCCAGGCTGGAGTGCAGTGGTCCAATCACAGCTCACTGCAGCCTTGATCTCACAGGCTCAAGCACTCCTCCTACCTCAGCCTCCCAAGTACCTAGGACTACAGATGTGCATCACCATGCCTGGCTAATTCTTGTATATTTTTGTACAAAAATTTAAAATATATGTAATTTCATATTACTTTGGAAGTTCAAATAAAACGAAAATGCATATGAAAGTGCACATACAGCACTAGCACATACTACCTCCTCAATGCAAACTAATAAATAATCTAATTGGGCCGGGTGCGGTGGCTCAAGCCTGTAATCCCAGCACATTGGGAGGCCGAGGCGGGTGGATCACGAGATCAAGAGATCAAGACCAACCTGGTCAACATGGTGAAACCCCGTCTCTACTAAAAATACAAAAAATTAGCTGGGCATGGTGGTGTGTGCCTGTAATCCCAGCTACTCGGGAGGCTGAGGCAGGAGATTTGCCTGAACCCAGGAGGCGGAGGTTGCGGTGAGCCGAGATCGCGCCATTGCACTCCAGCCTGGGTAACAAGAGCGAAACTCCGTCTCAAAAAAAAAATAATAATAATAATAATAATCTAATTGGTTAAACACCTTTATCATTAAAAATAGTAATATAATGCATCTATGAATGGTTGAGTTGTGGATATTTTTCTTTTACCTTTTCCAAGTCTTCAAAACTGAGCATAATTTTTATACAAGGGGAGAAAAAACAATATGCATTATTAATTGGTCCTTTTCTAAAATTTTGTCCTAAAAATTTTTAGCACAAGTTCCTAAACATCTGAGAAGCAATTTCATTCAACAAGCATTTATTTATTAAGTGCCTACACTAGACCAGGAGAGCCTGTGGGAGTGAACTATGAGAGCCAGCGCTGGGGTCCTGGTTTTTCCAGGCTGGAGTGTTACTGATATACAGATGGCTAACTTATGGAACAGGGAGGAGACCAGGTGGCAACCTGTTGAAATGGTGTCATCTTTTAAAATAAGGTTATAGGAAGAATGTAGTGGACAGAGGATGAGTAAGAAAAGGGAGGGCTTTGAAAGTCTAGTGGGAGTGTCTCACTTCATTCAGGTAGGAAACAGGGAGCCAGTTCATGATTCTCAGCAAGGGAGATATAAGTTTGATTTGAAGGACAAAGTCAACAGTAAAAAGGAGGACCTGGGGTCAGCAGCAGCAAACCTACTTGTGAAGAGACAATGAAGGACTAGCTTAGCAGACAGAAGATGGGAAAGAAACTGACATTCATCAGACACCTACTGATGCGCTGGGTGTTTTACATTAAATCCTTTCATCCTCAAAACAACCCTCCATGGTTGATTAGTCACTTTACAGATGCAGAGAGAGTCAGAAATATGCACAAGGTTATATGGATGCCAGTGAGTCACTCAGATGTAACTTGAACCCAGATGATCTCATGTGCTTTCCACTGTGCTAGTTTGAAACAATGAGTTCCACTTGGAAAACACCAGCTATTGTGGGTAATTCACATCTGGTGTCAGCATCCATGAGAAAGTGAAGCCGGAGATCGTCTGCCTAGGTCTGTAGTTGGATCCATGGGCACTGAGAGCACTCCAGGAAAAAGACAAGTCTCAGCAAGGTATGGTAAACACACATACCTATAAAGCTTGAGGATTAGTCTAGAAAACCCAGTGCTGGAGACACAAGCAAGGTACTTCCCACATCAGCTACAGAACTTCATGCCAAGTCCTTAGCTATGTTGAACCAGCAATAAATTCTTTCCAGGTGATACCAATGATTAGTAGAGAACTTCGAGATCTACTAGAAGGTAAATTCCATGTGAGCAGGAATTTTTGCCTGTTTTGTGCACTAATTGAAACAATGTCTGGCACATAGCAGACCTGCAAATATTTGCTGAATGTTTACGGGAACCAGATTGGACCATGGTTATCTCTGCCTGCAAAACCTCTAGTGCTTTCAAGTTGAAGGTAACAGAAAAGTATCAGAGTATCTTTAAAAGGTATGTTCCCTGAATGACACTTGACCAACACTTATACTGAGTATATTAAAGTATCTGGTATTTTTTTCCTTTTCTAATAAGGTCTATAAATCATACATTACTATATTAAGAACAGCACATCAATTCAAACTCTTAAAATTTTTTTTAAAATTAACGGCAACTCTTTTTTGTTGTTGCTTTTTTTGACCTGGAGTCTTGCACTTTCACCCAGGCTGGAGTGTAGCGGCATGATCGTTGCTCACTGCAACCTCCACCTCCCAGGTTCAGGCGATTCTCCTGCCTCAGCCTACCGAGTAGCTGGGACTACAGATGCAAACTGCCACGCCCAGCTAATGTTTTGTGTTTTTAGTAGAGGCGAGGTTTCACTGTGCTGCCGAAACTGGTGTCCAGCTCCTAAGCTCAGGTGATGTGACAGCCTCAGCCTCCCAAAGTGCTGGGATTACAGGCATGAGCCACTGCACCGGCCCTGACAACTCTCTTCTATAGCCTTTAGGACAGTGTATTTCAAACCTTTCAGAATTAAATCCTGCCCAACAACATGTAAGATAAATTCTCAAAGATGGAAATATACAGAATGTTAATAACACCAACACAATTAGCATGATTTTCCAAAGACATGAGGGAAGATGACTTCTCTACATTTTTTTAAAAACCACTTTATTAACGTACACAATAGAGAAAAGTGCACAAATCATAATGTATACATCCCTGTAACCAGCAGTCAAGTCCATTTTTCTTTTTTCTTTTTTTTTTTTTTTGAGACGGACTTACGCTCTTGTTACCCAGGCTGGAGTGCAATGGCGCGATCTCGGCTCACCGCAACCTCCGCATCCTGGGTTCAGGCAATTCTCCTGCCTCAGCCTCCTGAGTAGCTGGGATTACAGGCACGTGCCACCATGCCCAGCTAATTTTTGTATTTTTTTTAGTAGAGATGGAGTTTCACCATGTTGACCAGGATGGTCTCGATCTCTTGACCTCATGATCCACCCATCTCGGCCTCCCAAAGTGCTGGGATTATAAGCGTGAGCCACTGCACCCAGCTCTTTATTTTTTTTTTTTTCCTTTTGAGACAAGGTCTTACTCTGTCGTCCAGGATAAAATGCGGTGCCATCATCTCAGCTCACTGCATCCTCCATCTTCCAGGGCCAAGCAAACCTCCCACCTCGGCCTTCCAAGTACCTAGACTACAGGTACATGCCACCATGCCTGGCTAATTTTTGTATTTTTAGTAGAGATAAGGTTTCACCATATTGCCCAGGCTGGTCTCAACCCCCTGAGCTCAAGCTATCCACCCACCTTGGCCTCCCAAGTACTGGAATTACAGACATGAGCCAACATACCAGGCCAATTTCTCTACAGTCTATTAATGGTGAAACACACATACAAATGAGTTTGGCCAAAATCTTATGGAACTATGAAAAGGTAAAAGTCCAGGGGCCGGGCGCGGTGGCTCACATCTGTAATCCCAGCACTTTGGGAGGCCGAGGCGGGTGGATCACGAGGTCACGAGATCGAGACCATCCTGGTCAACATGGTGAAACCCCGTCTCTACTAAAATACAAAAAATTAGCTGGGCATGGTGGCGCATGCCTGTAATCCCAGCTACTCGGGAGGCTGAGGCAGGAGAATTGCCTGAACCCTGGAGGCAGAGGTTGCGGTGAGCTGAGATCATGCCATTGCACTCCAGCCTGGGTAACGAGCGAAACTCTGTCTCAAAAAAAAAAAAAAAAAAAAAAAGAAAAAAGAAAAGGTAAAAGTCCAGATAGTCTTCCTAATTGATGTTCAGAAAAAGAACATTAGGCCGGGCGCGGTGGCTCAAGCCTGTAATCCCAGCACTTTGGGAGGCCGAGGCGGGTGGATCACGAGGTTGAGAGATCGAGACCAACCTGGTCAACATGGTAAAACCCCGTCTCTACTAAAAATATAAAAAATTAGCTGGGCATGGTGGCATGTGCCTATAATCCCAGCTACTCAGGAGGCTGAGGCAGGAGAATTGCCTGAACCCAGGAGGCAGAGGTTGCGGTGAGCCGAGATCGCGCCATTGCACTCCAGCCTGGGTAACAAGAGCGAAACTCCGTCTCAAAAAAAGAAAAAGAACATTAAGGAAAACTGAATCTAGGCCAAGCGAGGTGGCTCATGCCTATAATAAGCACTTTGGGAGGCAGACGCAGGTGGATGGATCACTTGAGGTCAGGAGTTTGAGACCAGCCTGGTCACCATGGCAAAATCCAGTCTCTACTAAAAATGGCAAAATTAGCTGGGGTATGGTGGCGCACGCCTGTAATCCCAGCTACTTGGGAAGTTAAGACACAAGAATCACTTGAACCTGAGAGGTGGAGGTTGCAGTGAGCACAGATGACGCCACTGCACTCCAACCTGGGCAATGGAGCAAGACCCCCATCTAAGAAAAAAAAATCACGCCTGTAATCTCAGTACTTTGGGAGGCTGAGGCAAGTGGATCACCAGAGGGCGGGAGTTTGTGACCAGCCTGACCAACAGGGAAAAACCCCATCTCTACTAAAAATACAAAATTAGCCAGGCAATGGTGGCACATACCTGTAATCCCAGCTACTCAGGAGGCTGAGCGAGAGAATCGCTTGAACCCAAGGAGGCATAGGCTGCAGTGAGCTAAGATTGTGCCACTGTACTGCAGCCTGGGCAACAAGAGTGAAACTCTGTCTCAAAAAAAAAAAAAAAAAGGAAAATCTGAAGTTAAGCATTATTAAATGTGGGATCCTACTGCTGAAGCTGAATGTCAAATATCCCCAAGTTCTAGGTACAGTGGTAGTTTTTGAAAACTCTAAATTAATCCAGGCTCAGTCTTAAGTTGTCAAAAAATTCAAACAAGATCTCTTTTCAAACTGCTATTTCCTGGATTCAGTCAGAGTTGTTATTTCTCCCAGAAGCACGGATTTTAAATTGTG